GCCTGGACTGCGACCCCGCCACCTTGACAGCTCCCCCCCAAACTTCCCAGCCCCGAGAGCAACTCGTGCAGCCTGGCCGCGCGCCCCCGGATTCCCGAGCCCTCCGACCCCCGAGCCAACGTGACAATGAAAGGAAGCCCCACTCACAGAAGCCTTCTCAACTCGTCCTCCGCAGAGTCCCTGGCTGTGGTCCGAACCTGCCCCCACCGGGAGCTTCCCCCCAGTCTCGCCAGACCTTCCCGGGCCCTTGTCTTCTCTCGTCCGAGTCACTTACTGGGCAAGGGGTACGAAGCGACAGGAGAGAGGAGGCTATCTTGTCCCTTCTAGCCCCCTCATGCCGCTCTCTGGTTCTCTGGTGCCCCCCCTCCCTGGCCTGCGCCAGCCGCATCCAAGTCTGGGCTTCCTCCTTGGAAATTGATAGGAGAGCTAGTCCGGTTTATCCGGAAGACACTCCTTTAGTTTACTTCAAGGTAGTCATAGCAAGGCAGGTAAATGAGCTTCACGGTATTCATTTAGAATTGGAGAACCAGAACGAACAATGACAATGATCATGCTTGTCCGTAGTTGAGAGTCCAGATCTATAGGCTTCAGGCTTTTACCTGTAATGAGTCTGGACAGTTTAACCAGGGCTGACTTGGGGCAGGTCCCTTGCAACTAGTGTCAGAGGTCGCCAGCAGCCTGCAGGCTCTTGGTTCATAATTAATGTTCGAGAGTGCCACAAAGGCACACTGTACTTCTATGTCTAAATGCATGTGAGTGCTTACACAGATGCATTTAAAATGCTTCTTAGTGACTTCTCCTGTACAGCAGGGGTCCTCAAACTTTTTCAACCGGGGGCCAGTTCACTGTCCCTCAGACCATTGGAGGGCCGGACTATAGTTTAAAACAAAAAACTATGAACAAATTCCTGTGCACACTGCACATTTCTTATTTTGAATAAAAAAAACAAAACGGGGCCAAAACACCCGGCGGGCTGCGTATGACCCGCGGGCCGTAGTCTGAGGACCCCTGCTTTACGGGATCTGGGGTCATAGAAACAGAATGCTCTGGAGGAGCGAGCTTGCTACGAAGAAAAAGCAGATGAAAGCCACACGAACACAGTGAGAAACAGAATGCATTTGCAGTTTTAAAAGCAAGAGCTTTACTCAATAATGTGTTCAACTATTCTGCAATAATGGGACAGACAAACTGCCCACCGCAGCTACTTTTGATCAGACATTCCTTCTGAAACCTTCTCTACGTCCCACCAGAGGCAAGCCTCTTGTCTTCCCAAACCTTGCTCTGAGGATCCCCTGCCTTCCCTGTAAGCAGTCAGTCGTAAACATGTATTCATCAGGCTCCTTACCAGGGCGTGTCCTTTTTAAGGGCAGGAACGATGTTGACCCTTATCTGGAGCCGCCCCAAAGAGCAGCCGGTGTGGCACAGAGCAAAGGCTCACTGAGTGGTTGCCAGTGAATTGGCAGTAACTCTGCCAGACATACCGCTGCGTATGGGAGCCATGGCCTGCTCCTCCAGGAACTGATGAGCCCCTGCCACCTCGGATCCAGCCTTCTTAATGGAGGCAGCATCTCCCAAATAGTTAGTCACCTCCTCCGCCACCTGTTATGGGGTTGAATTGTGTCCTCATACCTCCCACCCCCATTCGGGAATCGGGTTTTCTGTTATGTTAATGAGACCACAACCGGGAGGATGTTCTACCCCAATCACGTGTGACATATAAAAAAGCAGATTAGGCACAGACACCAGGAAGTGGGGTGGGAGGTGGGGGCTGCTGAGGAACAGAAACTGAAAAGAGAAAGGACCTTCCCCCAGGGGCCGTTACCTGGAATTTAGACCTTCCCCAGAGAGCCTCCTAAACGGAGAGAAAATACCTAGCTGCTTGTTGAAGCCACCCACTTGTGGGACACTTCATTTCCTTGCGCTTCATTCGTGCTGACTGTGTTTTTACAAATGGAAGCTTTGTGCAGCCAGCAAGTCTACTGGTGCGGTTTCCAGCAGCGAGCTCACTTCGTGTCTCTGTCACATTTGGATGATTCTCACAATATTTCAAACTTTTTCTTTTTTACATTTTAATAAATCATTTTATTGGGGGCTCTTACAGCTCTTATAGCAATCCATATATCAATTGTATCAAGCACATTTATACATATGTTGCCATCATCATTTCCAAAACATTTTCATTCTACTTGAGCCCTTGGTATCAGCTCTTGTTTTCCCACCCTCCCTCACGCTCCCACCCTCCTGAGCCCTTGATAATTTAGAAATTATTTTTATTTTCATATTTTACACCGTCCAATGTCTCCCTTCACCCACGTTTCTGTTGTTCGTCCCCCTGGGAGTGGGGGGTTGTAGGCCAATCATTGGGATTGGTTCCCCCTTTCTCCCCCTCAAACTTTTTGTTAATACTCGTGCACACTTAAACACAGTCCAGGGTAAACCGCACTTTTATGCACGGGGACACCACACAGTTGGGACTGGCTTTATTGCGTGGTCTGAAACGGAACCCACAGTAATGGCCTGCATTGCTGTTACAGTTGTACCGAGAAGCTAAGAAACTCGGGGATTAGAAGCCACGTTTGCTGGGAGGGTAAACCACAATGACCTTGCTAGCAGCAGGCTACTGCTCTTAGCCGTGGCTTGGTGCCTCTAAAAACGTCACCCCTGGCAGAATTTAACCTCTTTTGTCGATCTCTTCAGTGCCCTTCTACAAAAGGATGGGAGGAGCGTGGGTAGAAAAATTATGACTTGTGAATTCTGAATACATTTTAGCTTGTTTCTTCCCCATCCTTTGCACTCAGCATTCTTATTTACAAGTACAATTTCATGTATACTGTGTGCATTTCTACTGACAGATGGTGATAAAGCTAAAACGATTGTCATCAGAATGCTTATTAATAAGTCAAAGATCACGGTTTAGATATTTTTACGTAAGATATAATGAATCATAATTAGCATTACTATAAGAAGACTTGGGGGCCTTTTAAGACCTGTATCTCTCAAAGTTATTTGAGTTTTTAATGGAATGACTTTAGGATATTTGACAGGGAATGCTTAGTAAAGTGTATGTGGCGCCGTTATAAAAGAAATATTGATAAAAACTATCAACGTGCCATACTAAATTTCCATTTTGTTTACAGAATTTTGAAGATGTCCGGTGTAAATGTATTTGTCCTCCTTATAAAGATAATTCTGGACATATTTACAATAAGAACATATCCCAGAAAGATTGGTAAGTATTCTAGTTTATTGAATTACTTGTCAAATTTCTTTCCATGCTTGTTACTGTTGGCCTAGAATTTTCATTCATTGTGTAGAGTTTTCTTGTATTTAAAAAAAAAAGTGTCAAGTTCTATTTATATTTGAAAAAGTGAGAGTCAGCCTCTGATTGCGTGACCGTAGCTAAAATACCAGGCCCCGGGTAGCAGTCCTCTCACCTGGGGATGGGACTGAGTTAGCGGCACCTAACCCGCCCTCTCCCGGCCCACCTGCCCAAGATCTGGTCAGGAGCCTTTCTCCCTCATGCTTTTCAGTGGAAGGTGCACCAGCTTCATGTATCTGGGTTACACTTTTTACAACTTTGTAGGGTTTTGATCATTTATTTTCAAGTATTGGAAGCCATGTTTAAAAGTGCCAGAAGGAATGGGAATGAACTGTGGGTGTCAGTGCTTCCCAACTGCTGTGCCGTGAACAGGTTATCCATAAGCCAGGGTGCTGATGGAGTCAGTCTCTGAGACCATTGTGTGGACCTGTGCCAACAGGGATCCTGACTGGCTAGCTACAAGCAGCCTTCTCTATTGACCCAGTGGGTTTTACAGATGTCAGCTTTTCCTCCATGTGTAATTAACCCTTGGGAAGCAGTTGCTCTGGAGTAGGATGCTGTGGACTTGTGCTGGGCTAGATCAATGAGGAAAATAGCTCCAAATACTAGTTACATTCACATGTGATTGATTTTGCAGCTGTGAAAAACAGGATAGCGTTGAAAGTATGATCAAATTAAGCTGACTTTGAAAAAGAAACGGAAATATTTGGGCATACTTCGTTTCCCAATGGGATAGTTCAGATGATTTAATTTATCTTGAAATACATTTAGATTCAGCCTGCTATTTGTTAAGTGTGTTCTTGAGAACATCTTATAAATGTCTTTGTTCCACTTTAAATCGTTTATAATTTTGGGAGCATATTCTTAATAAATAGGTTTTATATCAACCAGGCACTCTATTGATAGAAGAAAGCGCAAATACAGCTCAAAGGTATTTCTATACTTTTTTTCAAATGCACTAAGCATTTACAATCAGCTTATTTTATGATCAGTGGTAGAATTTATACCTATTTAAATGCCGAAAGAGCCCACAAATCATTGATCTTCTCATTAGTCTGTGCTCAGACAGAACCGTGTGCCACTCATCCCCTGTAAAGGAGTTTGGACAGAAACAGTTGAAGACAAAGCCTGCTTGAGGTTTTACCTCCCCCCCCCCCCTTCGTTTCTACAGCCCCACCTTTCAGTGGGGCTAGTTTCCAGTTGGCACAGAAGATTTTTTTAGCTGGTTTTAGTAGCGTTGGCAAGTTATGATTAAGCAGGATGTTATCGTTCTCTGAGGCTCCCAGTATCTGTGAGACTCCATATATATTTTCCCATTTTGCCCAGTGACTAACTTTAATCTCTCATTGACTTATGCTGCCTGACCTATAAAAGCTTAAGTTTTCTGTTTTTGTTTAGAATATGACTTAAACCTTTTGTGGACTGTGGGACCTTAGGAGCCCACCAAGGAATCTTCTCTCCAAGTTGTAGCACATTTTCTTGGGAATCTGCTCTTCCAGTTACAGCACATGCTATCTATATTGAGCCTTATGGGGACCTGTAACACTAGTCTGAAGAAGTGGGCCTCACTTCCCCAGAATCTTCTTGGGACATACGTGCCGCAGCCCCATAACTGGATTAAAATCCATATACCTTTAAAAAAAATCCTCCCCTACCCACCCAGATTTCAGCATTATTGAAAACACATGGTATCAATGAAAACTTTAAAGCAGAAAATAGTGTGGTTACAAAAGTGTTAAAGCTGCTAGTTTCCTCTTTGGGCACTAGGGGGAGATGTTGTCCAGTTCCTAAAGTGGTTGAGCCCTGTAGCTTGGGTCTGTTAAAATAACACGGTTGCTCCTGCGCAACTTTCTGCCCCTGCACATTTTTTAACAGGTATTCAATACTTTTTTGTCACGTAGCTGCATCTGTATTTCAAAAGAAACGATACTCGCTCAGCAGTTAGATGCTAAAGTAATTCTTAAGATACATGATTGAGGGAGGCTTCTGAAGCTGAAATAGGAAACGAATTGGGAGATACACCTGATTTTCCTGAGGTTCATAGAAATAAGGTAGGGACTGACCTATGTGGCAAGAAGCCTGGATTCTGGTCCTTTTCAGCCACTAGCTTAGTCTGTGAACTTGGGCAAGTGAGCCCTCTGAGAGCGCTGGGCTGGGTGGCCTCTGATTCAATCATGGGAATTTACTTTCTCTGTTTTGTGCCTGATACATAAATACATGCCTAATGTTTCTATGTTTGGAACAGATAACATGTACTTGCTTAAATGATTCAGTTGTGAGGCCTCACCCTTATCTGAAATTCTGCCAGTGGAGATCTATATTTTTCATGCTTTTCTTTGTTAAAATTCATTTATGTGGTAAAGATACCTAATTAAACTTTTACCATTCAGACCATCTTTGATTTTTCTTTCTAATACCACAGCTCTGAGGAAATTAAACATGAGCAAGTACATCTTGATAGGGGACAAAGGCAATGGATCAGTCCCCAATGACGGTGAGTGGCGTGAGGCAGGATGCAGGGTAGAGTAGTAGTAGACTTTTTGAGGTAACCAGAAATGTCTGAGCAAGGGATGCCAGTAGGGAAGAGAATTGCCTGGTAACTAGCTGAAGGACATTAAATTTTGCCTCCTTCAAAATGGAATGAATGGCATTGCCTGCATGAACAACTTCTACCCTGCCTTGAGACCAGAAGAACTAGATGGTGCCCAGCTATCATTACTGAGCATTGTGATCAAAGATCCTTTAGAAAAAATCTTGATCAAAGAGGGAAGAGGCAGAACAGAAAGAATTTCAAATTCTCATGTAATCCAGACTTTATGAAACCACTGAGGCTGGGTGAACCCCTAAAACTATTGCCCTGAAATAATCTTTAATTATTTAACCCAAACTTTCCCCTGGAATCTTCTTAAAGTCACTCAATAGTTTAGCTTAGCTACTGAAAAATATTTGCCTTGAGCATTGTGCTCTTTTAAGAACTATCTTTATGGGATCAAAGTGACAACAGTGGTTTGCAAGATGATGTAGGAACCTTGGGCAGTGAGTTAGTATTACTGGGGGAGGAGTGTAAGAATGGTCACGCACTCAAAGAATGAAATCACTGTCACTGAATTGTACTTGAAGAAATTGTTGATGTATGTTCTGCTGTGTATATTCTGAATGACAAAAAGAATTACATGGGATCAAATTCATGGTAACTCAAAAGTTTAGATAAGCACGGGATCATGAGTAAGGAATAGTTCAGAAAAGGGTGTAGAACTCAAGGAACATTGTCAGTGTTACTGCATTGCACACGTAGAAGCTATTAAATTGGTGTTTTTTAAAAATCACTTCAATGGGGGCTCTTACAGCTGATATCACAATCCATACATACATCCGTTGTGTCATGATCATTTTCAAAACATGTTCTTTCTACTTGAACCTTTGGTATCACCTCATTTTTCCCCTTACCCCACCCTCCCTCACTCATGAACCCTTGATAATTAGTATTATTTTTTCATGTCTTACATTGACCATTACCCCCCTTCACCCACTTTTCTGTTGTTCATCCCCCTGGGAGGGGTTCTATGTAGATCATTGTGATCGGTTCCCCCTTTCTTCCCCACCTTCCCCTTATTCTCCCAGTATTGCTACTCATTATTGGTCCTGAGGGGTTTAACTGTCTTGGATTCTCTATGTTGGGAGCTCTTATCTGTACCCGTGTAAATGCTCTGGTCTAGCCATATTTGTAAGGTAGAATTGGGGTCATGATATTGGGGGCGGGGAGGAAGCATTAAAGAACTAGAGGAAAGTTGGATATTTCATCAGTGCTGTACTGCACCCTGACTGGCTCATCTCTTCCTTGTGTCCCTTCTGTGAGGAGATGTCCAATTGTCTGCAAGTGGACTTTGGGTCTCTACTCTGCCCTCCCCCTTATTGACATCGATATAATTGTTTGGTCTGGGTCTTTGATGCCTGATACCTCATCCCTTCGACACCTTGTGATCACACAGGCTGGTGTGCTTCTTCCATGTGGGCTTTGTTGCTTCTCAGCTAGATGGCTGCTTGTTGATCTTCAAGCCTTTTAAGACCCCAGTTGCTATATCTTTTGATAGCCGGCACCATCAGCTTTCTTCACCACATTTGTACCTATTTTGTCTTTGGCGCTCATGTCAAATTGGTGAATGTTTTGCCGTGCATTGTCTCAACAGCAAATTATTTTGGCATACTTTGCCCCTTTAATGTTACTGAAGGTGATTACCGAATAATCGGTTGCCACTGACTTGGGCTTATGGCAGTCCCGTCCTGTGCCTTGGAGCAGAGCTGTGCCACATGGGGATTTTAGTGGCTAACTTGGGGGCAATAGATCACCAGACCTTTTGGGCCTCCACCCTTTGATGCGCAGCTGGGCATGCTAATAGTTTGTACCACTCAGGGTCTCTGATTGCTAAGTAGCAGACTCTTCTGAGAGGAGAAGTAATTCATTTCCTGAAATTTATAGATTGATAAAATGTTATTTTGAGGATTAGAGATACATTTGCATGCTTCTAGGCTCTGCAAAGGGTTGAAATATACTACCATAGCCAAATTCATAGTTCAGCTATTTAAAATAGATATTTTGGGAGTTTGCAAAAATTGCATAGCCCCTTCCTCGCTTCTCACCATCTGACAGATGTGCAGCACTAGTGAGCTCACTGTCGATCCCAAACAGATGAAGTGACTGTCCAAAAGGTGATTCTCTGGGCTCTTGTTAGTCTTAGCTGCCATGAAGGAGGGTCTCCAGCTCACAACCGAACAAGGTGCGCCCAGCCCTGCGCCATCCCCACCATTGCCTGCAGATTGGCCGGTTGCAATCCTTACAGGACATTTATTTATCTATTTATTTTGCTTTTTTTTTTTTTAACTTTGGGTGAAGTCTTACAGAGTAAATTGAAAATATTTTTTGATAGTCTGCTGATATATTTGATAGAAGTATCCTGGATAGAGGTTGCATAAACATAAATAGGTGGACAGAAGAATAAACAAGAACAAAAAAACCCATAAAACCCTTTTGTTTTGATGGGTGCATAAGCAAATGTGGCGAAGAAAGCTGATGGTGCCCGGCTATCAAAAAGTACAGCGTCTGGGGTCTTAAAGGCTTGAAGGTAAACAAGCGGCCATCAAGCTCAGAAGCAACAAAGCCCACATGGAAGAAGCACACCAGCCTATGCAACCACAAGGTGTCGAAGGGATCAGGTGTAAGGCATCATCAGAAGAAAAAATCTTACCATAGTGAATGATGGGGGGAGTGCGGAGTGGAAACCCAAAGCCCATTAGTAGGCCACTGGAGATCCCCTTGCAGAGGGGTCTCAGGGAGGAGATGAGCCAGTCAGGGTGTGATGTAGCAACGATGAGAAATACAACTTTCCTCTAGTTCCTAAATGCTTCCTCCCTGCCCCCACTATCATGATACGAATTCTACCTTGCAAGTCTGGCTAGACCAGAGGATATAACTGGTACAGATAGGAACTGGAAACACAGGGAATCCAGGGCGGATGATCCCTTTAGGACCAGTGGTGTGAGTGGCGATACTTGGAGGGTAGAGGGAGAGTGGGTTGGAAAGAGGGAACCGATTACAAGGATCTACATGTGACCTCCTCCCTGGGGACGGACAACAGAAAAGTGGGTGAAGGGAAACGTCGGACAGGGGAAGATATGACAAAATAACAATTTATAAATTATCAAGGGCTCATGAGGGAGGGGGGAGCAGGGAGGCAGGGGAAAAATGAGGACCTAATGCCGGGGGGGCTTAAGTGGAGAGAAAATGTTTTGAGAATGACGAGGGCAATGAATGTACAGATGTGCTTTACACAATTGATGTATGTATGGATTGTGATAAGAGTTGTATGAGCCCCTAATAAAATGATTTTTTAAAAAGTCTTTTGTTTTTTTTTATATAGTTCTTCATAATAATTCATTTTAAAATATTTTTCTTGTCTTAATGCTACTTCTTCTTACTTTCTCTTTTTTTTTTTTTTAACATTTTATTAGGGGCTCATACAACTGTTATCCCAATCCATACACACATCAATTGTGTAATGTGCATTTGTACATCGTTTCTCAAACATTTTCTCTCCATTTAAACCCCAGACATTAGGTCCTCATTTTTCCCCTCCCTCCCTTCTTACTTTCTCAATAGGCTTCTTGCTCATTAAGAAAAAGTAACTCACAAAATAACTAATATATAATTGACCGAGGATTCACAAGAGTGGGAGGGTGGGGGAAGAGTGGGGGGTAGGTGGGCTGCAGGCAGGGAAGAGGAACTGATACCAAGGGCTCAAGTAGAAATGAAATGTTTTAGAAATGGCAACATATGTATAAGTGTGCTTAATACAATTGTATGATGGATTGTCATAAGATTTGTAAGAGCCCCCCCCAATAAAATGATAAATAAATTAAAAGTTTACCCCCCAAAAAAGAAAAGGTAACTGCACCCTCCTGTGGCTTTGGAGCGGTCCGGTTTTAGAGTTTTGGAGCTACCCTACTGACACATGATCAGCTGTCCACAGTGCCAGACCGTGGTGGTTGAGAATGATGTCATCGAATTCACACGTGAGAGTAATTCACATTGAGCATGACCCCAGGCTATTTTAGGGGGAAAATGTGTTTCTTACAAAGTTCAGTGATTTATAAATTCAATAGAAAATAATTCCTCGTGGATCCTGAGCAAGGAACTAAGCTTTTTAGGCAAGGCTATTTTATGTTGCATTTATTTTATTGCAGATGAAAAATAATAAAAATGTACTACACTTTAAAAAAGCAGACACTTCAAGCTGTTTGGCTTGGTAACGGCAGGTCTAAGCCTTCCTTGAGTGAAGTTTGGAAGTGGCTTCTCCGCCGCTTTGGTGGCAGCTCAGGGGCGTAAGTGCTGGCAGCAGCACTTCAGGGTGACTGGCCACTGCGTCTGTTCCTGTGGTTTCCAGGCCATTAAGTCCTTCTTCACAAAGTCTTACTACTAAGAGAAGGAATTGTCTTACTTCGCCTTACTGCTGGTTTCTTAACGTTCTTTCACTGGGCAAATCTTACGATGATTCTGGATTTCAGGAAAGTTTTGATCAGTTCAAGAGAACCCCCTGCCAGGCTGAAGCAGCGTTTTGCCTTTGCTTTTTCAGTGATTGCCTTCATGTGGTGGAGCCCATGCCCGTGCGAGGGGCCGACGTGGAAGCGTACTGTCTGCGCTGTGAGTGCAGATACGAGGAAAGGAGCTCCGTAACCATCAAGGTAGACACAGCAGCCCGTCTCGTGCTTCCCGGCCGGCTTGGCGTTCAGCACAAGGCCAGACATGGGGGCTCCTTAATCCAATGTTAATTACCGCAATTACTGCCCATCGTGCTAGCTCCCTCCCCTGCTCTAAAAGGCGCTTGGGCCTGCTCCCCCTGGCCTCACTGAGATGCTTCAGGGATTGATCAGGAGACAGTAGACAGCAGTGTGTGAAGTGGGACAGCCATGCCCTCCCTGCGTGTGAGGAGCCGTGTGCATCACAGGCTAGTGAGAGAGCAGAGTGGTGGAACCCTACAGCCCTTCCACAACTGTGTGTGTACATATATATGTGTGTATGTATGGGTATGTATACATGCACGTATTGTACAACTAGGGACACATTCTTCTATTTTAGAAACATCACTCTGGAATTTTAAGGTTTTCCCCAAGGAAATGAAGGATGGAGAATTCTCTGCACCCTCTGGGTCTATAATGGCTGATGGTTCTTCTCACAACTTGTTTTTATAGGCTATTGCTCACTCCTTCCCCCGCACAAAGGCCTCGCGGGGAACCTTGGGCGGCCAGAGATAAGTCACAGAGATTCTGTTGTGACTGGTCTGCTGGGAGAGCTCTTGCTCAGGCGGTCCTGCACTGTAGAGAAAGCCTCGCTGTCCTTTGTAAAAAGCCACTTTTTAAAAGGAATATATGTAATTTGCATGCTTTTAAATCCACTCGCTGTAATTACACAGTTTTCTGAGTTTTATAGAGTTGTGCAACCATTACCACAATCCAATCTTAGTGCATTCCCATTACCCCACAAAGACGGGTCATGCCCCGTCCAACGAGTCCCCCTTCCCGCTCCCAGCCGCAGACAATCACTGTTCTGTTTTCCGTCTCTACAGATCTGGACATTTCATGTAAATGGAATCATACAGTATGTGGTCTTTTGTGACTGACTTCTTTCACTTAGCATTGAGGTTGTGAGGACCATCCATGTGGTGGCGTGTCTGAGGACTTCATTGCTTTTCGTTGCTGACTACTCTCCCATTACATGGAAGCACCGTGTTGTATTTGTTCACTCGTCAGCTAATGGACATTTTCATTGTTTCCGGGCTTACTGTCAGGAGTAATGCTGCTCTATGTATTTGTGTTTTCCTTTCTCTTGGGCAGTGTCCTTAGAGTGGTAAATGTATGTTTAACCTCTTAAGAGGCTGTCAAATCATCTCAAGTGATTGTACTATTTCATACTCTCACCAGCAGCGTAGGCATGTCGTGCCCCACCCCCTACACGCACTTGATATTGTCCTGTTTACGACAGCCATGCTAGTGGGTGTGTGATGTGTGACATTGTGACATCACACAAATTAAGATACCAAGAAAATCGCTAGCCTGAAAAAAGTATTTTATGTATCTAAATTGATCTAAAAGCATTTCCTGTTGAAGTTCACCCCACGCACATTTTCTCCCAGGGCTCTTTTAAATTGTTTTGACAGCAGTGCTGCTGAATCTGGGACACTGGGCTCAGCTGCAAAAAGCAAAGTGCTGTGCTAGCAGGGTGACAAGGGATCAGCCAGAGGGAAAATGGGAACCTTGAAAGATGCCAAAGACAAAGTGCTTTCCTTCCTCCTGTTCCTGGAATAGTACTTGGGTGGGAAGTTGAGTTTGTCTCTTGTGTTGGCATCTGGTTTGTTTGGAAATCCTGTTGGCTTTATAATAGAGAACTATGGCTTTGTTATTATCATCCTGCAAAATGATCATTTCTTGCTGAGGCCAATGGTGTAATTTATTTTCGAATTCCTTCAGGTTACCATTATCATCTACCTCTCCATTTTGGGGCTGCTGTTGCTGTACATGGTGTACCTCACGCTGGTTGAGCCCATACTGAAGAGACGCCTCTTTGGACACTCGCAGTTGATACAGAGCGATGACGACGTCGGGGTAAGTTCTCCTCATCTGATGTACGGTGCAGTCACCGAGAGAAGTTCATACGGTGGTGCTGTCAACAGTACGCATTGTAGTAGTAATCTCTCTCTCTTAGGAAACCTTGGTCCCTAAAACCATAGATTTGGTGCTTTAAACTGATGACCCTTGTTGTACAAGACCTTGCCCTTCAGTGCCCAGGGCACACTTGTCATGGCATTCTCGGTTCACAGTGGAGTGGGCTTGAGGCAAGGGCAACACTGGAGAGCTGATAGGCCAGACACCAGGCACTGTGGGTGTCTCTGGTGTGTGAGCTGGCGTAGAGGAACCAGAGGTTGTGCAACAGAAGGAAGTGTTAAGAGTCTCAAATTCTGTTCCAGTGTGAGTTTCATTCACATATAACAGGGTTTAACAGCGCTTCCCAACCTTTCCATTATGGACATTTTGGGATGGAGAATTCTTTGTTGTAGGGCTGGCCCAAGACATTGTAGGGTACTTACTAGTATTTCTTGCCTCTGCCCACCAGATGCCGATAGTACCACCCTTATCCAAATCACAACACTCAACACTGTTCACAAGCATTGCCAAATGACTAATGATGGAGTCAAAGGTTTCCTGAGGGACAAAATCACCCCCAGGTGGGGACTGCTCTCATAGGAAAGTGTTCTGTATCAAAAACCAAACTCATTGCCGTTGAGTTGATTCTGCCTCATATCAACCCCATAGGACAGAGCAGAACTGCCCTGTGGGTTTTCAAGGCTGTACGTCTTTACAGGGGCAACAAGCCTCGTCTTTCTCCTCCAGAGCAGCTGGTGCTTAAGAACTGCCCACTGGAGAGCAGATGTTTCGAGAGTGATAAAGGCAATGGATGTACAAATGTGCTTGATACAATTGATGTATGTATGGATTGTGATAAGAGTTGTATGAGCCCCTAATAAAACGATTAAAATAAATATTTTTAAAAAGAAAAAGAAAAGATGATGGCAACATATTACAAATGTGTTTGATACAATTGATGTATGGATTATTATAAGGGCTGTAAAGCCCCCCAATAAAATGATATATTAAATTTGTTTTAAAAAGAAAAAAAAAGAACCGCTTACATTGTGGTTCCCAGCCCAACATGTGACTCACTACGCCATGAGATCAGCTGTTGTAGCAAAGTCCACATAACTAATTTTCATTATAAGCACATAAGTAGAAAATCTAACTTAAACCGCATGCTTTGCAGCATAAATACCTGGGCCCTGCTTTGAGGAATAAGCAACATCCATGCAACACATCAAGAACATAGAGAAATAGATGTACAAATGTGTAGACAGAAACAATGAGGGCATGCCTTGGTTTTGTCCACTACCGGTTGATTCTGTCTGTGCAGTGGTCACTTGAGACCTTTGTCTCTGGGAGGCCTGGCTGACTCTTGCCTCGCTGTTAAACCACTTCTGGGCAGAGAAAGGTTTCACACAAGACTTGTAAATTTATGGTAATAGCTCTCACAGAAGGAGTTACATTTCTCCAGTGGCTGTTCATTGAAGAGGTGAGTTTTTCACTATGGCTGTACTATTTTAAATGCTTTTGTTAAATTCTCAAAGTTCAGTCTTCCTTTTTTCCTCCCATTTCTGTCCACTATAGAGAATTTTAAGCCAAAGGAGAAGTGGTACAGATGTGACGCTCACTGCAAACAGTCACAGTATTTCCCGGATCATGTATCCATGACACATCATCACTGTTGCCAAAGCAGTACGTTCAGGCAGGCTTTGTATTTATTGTAATCTCATCAGGTGTAAAAAGAACAAACCTATTAAAACGCTGAGTCTCTATTTGCATTCTCCAGCTTCCATGCCCGCGAGCAGCCAGTCCAATCCTGTTCTGATAGGTGAAGGACCGTCCAGAAGGATTAACTGATTTGTTTGGCCCTCTAAATGTAAGCAGCTGCTGCTCCCCCACCCGGAGGAGCAGCTGACAGGACTGTGAAACAGAGGTGCTCTGCTGATGAAGCCCATCCTCCCTCCCAGCCTTGTTGATGTGGAAACAAGCCAGTGGTGCTGATATTTTATATACAAGCTCACGGAGGCACCACATTTCCATTGTGCTGTTTCAATCCAAGCCACACTGGTGGGCTGACAAGTCAAGGTTAGGAGATTGCTCTCCTTTACTAAGTGACCTCGGGCCGCTGTGTCTCCTTGTGGGAAACCGTGTCCTCCAAGAGCGGAGCCTTCCCCTTCCCGCCCCTGCTTTCCTAGACCGTCCAGGCTTGTTTTCATTTCTCCTCCCCAAAGGCCTTTGGCATTGTTTTTATTATTTTAATTTTCAAGTTAAAAATAAGAGACAAAATGAAGTTTGCACCTCAATTAAGCTACATAAACACGTTCAGAGAATTTTGGTAAAGGATGCAGGGGAAGATCCTTTCATGGAAACGTCTCAAATGACTTTGAAATGTGGACATCGTGTAAAATGTCTCCATATACAAACAAGGCCAGCACTTCCCACTCTGGACTAGACGGGAGCATGTACATAAGTGTAGGCAAGAGGGAAAACTCACAACACACAGGACCCAGCAATCAAGGACCCACAAGGGTTTAGGGTGGGGAAGGGAGGGGGGAAAAAAAGAGTTGTTGATCCCAAGGGCTCAATGGAAACTAAATGGCCAGGAAAGAAAGTAAATGGCTATGTACTAATATGTTAGATACAATTGATGTATGGATTGTAACAAGAGTTGTAAGAGCTCCCAATAAAGTGATCTTAAAAAAATAAATAAAAATATGAAGGACAAAATTATTTTTAAAAAAACAGGGCCAGGTGTTTTAACACTATATATATATATATATATATAAAATCTATCTAGGGCAGCATGTATGGCTTTCCATAGACTTGCTAGCATCTGTCCTGGGTATGTAGTATACAAGAGAGCTTTTTTCCCTGTGTAGAATGAAACAGCATGCTCTCTCTCTTGGAGGTCAAGTTGAACTCAGGGAGTGGGACTTGTCGCTTGGATATTATGTTGGACCATTCAGACCACTAGCTCAGGCAGGGTAAGGGAAAATAGACCAAGTTTTGAAAAAGACAAAAGCAATAAATGACTTGACTGCTTTTTGTCATTTAGGCAGCTGTGTTTATATTCCATTCATGGATAGATTTCCTGTGTCATGACTGCAAACATCTAGCTGCCCTGCTGGTCTCCTTTGAGGAGAGCAGACTGGTTTCCCACGCAGGTGCCCCAGTGGCCCAGGACCAGCAGCTTCCACAAGGCAGCCGCGATCAGATTCATGTCTGCTGAAGAGAGGTGCCGAAGCAGGAATTCCTCACTGTGCTTGGTGCTAGTGGGTAACTGTGGTCAACAAACCCGCAGGGAGCTGTGTGTTTTCATTAAAGACTGGGGAGTAGGGGGGAACCAGACCTTTCAGTGTAGGGGGCACATGGAGAAATGAAGACCAACCATAATAAGACCTGTCAGTTCTTCATCAGGGTGGGTGTTACCCCACCTGACAGGTAAACACTTCTGTGAGGAAATGATAAGTCAGGTTTTTCCTCTGCCACACGTGAGTTCTGTACAGTCAAGCCTGCAAAAGACAAAGCCTGTGTAGGCAGGAAACCTGTCAGAGAAGGAAAACGCAAATATTTTCCACTAAAACAGGCAACAGGAAAGTGTATAACTGCACTCCGTCCGCAGCGAACAACATGTGAGACCTGGTGAAAATAACCGTCCCTCCGAGTTCCGGCTCTCACAGGTTTCTCTGTCGTCTCAGTGCGCCAGGGAATAGCCCCGCTTCCCTGATCTATAGAACGGAGATGTCGCCCTGAAAATCCATGCTGCTTTCCCCAACTCATCGAGCAGCCTTCTCTGACAGGAATGGCCACCGTCTTTATCTTGGCCCCTCGGCCTTGTGAGTCACATCTTGGGAAGGGTGACAGGGCCGCCTTTCACAAATACCTCTTGACGGACCGCTAGGTTTCCTGGACCACCTGTGTCCACACTCGAGCTTCCTGCTGACAGTTAAGTGCCCACGTGCGCTTGGCCAGTGTGGTTTGAAAAGTCCAACTGCTACTAGCACTGGTGTGTGTGTGTGTGTGTGCATGTGTGCACTGATCATGCCATCGTCCCTGATGATCTCCTTTCCTGGATTTTTCAGGATCACCAGCCTTTTGCAAATGCCCACGATGTGCTGGCCCGCTCCCGCAGTCGAGCCAACGTGCTGAACAAGGTAGAATATGCCCAACAGCGCTGGAAGCTTCAGGTTCAAGAGCAGCGGAAATCTGTCTTTGACCGACATGTTGTCCTCAGCTAATGGGGATCAGAAAGAAACAAGACCAAGGAAGATTCAAAACTGGAAGAAAACATGTGCTTGGTACTCTTTTTTTGTTTTTTTAACGTATTAATAGAGACATTGTTGAAAGCACACATCTCAAATGTCAGCCAGTAAACTTTTCCTGTTCGTGACTTTCACTAATATAAATAAATCTGCACTGTAAATTATTTTGAAGTCCTCTACCTGGAACAAGCACTCTCTTCTCACCAGTTGTCCTGGTCGTCAGGATCATTTTCGGATTTTGTTGTTTGTTTTGCAGGGGGTGAGTGGAAGATGTGTGGCAAATGCTTAACCTTTCTCAAGACACTTGCTTCAAACAAACTTTGTAAATAGAATTTACACACTCCCCACTCCATTCTCAAGTGGCTGGTTTGCAGTAGCCAGCCTCGTCGACCTCCCCATTTGAATTTTGCACTGACTATACTAGCTAGGCAGTTGGTTGACCCATGGCTGCACATTGTGGTTCACGGGACCTGAAATGCCTGATGGAGTCACAAACGCAGGGTCTCTTCATGCACTGTGATGTCGGATGCAGTGCATCCAAGAGCGGCCTGGCCGTTGGCCGGTTTACTGTGGTGACTAAACACGTAGTCTGGTGTGTGGTCCTTCTCATCCTCTCCAGGCTTCTTTAAGGACGTGGGTACTTGCAATAAAGCAAGCCTCTCTGGGTTGAGGACATCCATTTCTCAGCATTTCCGGTCCCCCGGGAGGCCGCTGTGTGAGCTCCAGTGAGTGCAGCTTTGGCCCAGGACTGAGGGGCTGGGGGCCTCTCTCGGAGAGGTGTGCCAGTCTGGGGTAACTGGCTTTTTCTTCCTACTCCTCTGGAAGGTAACAATAAAAATCCTTTCGAAACGCCGCCATTTGGTCCGTGTCTCCTCACTTTCTTCTCCTGCTCTTGTCACAATGACATTCTGTGCGCCGTTGTGAGACTACTGGTTTTGACCATCCCAAACCCACAGCGAGGGTTCTGAGTCCCGTTTCTGTGTATGTGTGCGGCAAGAGAGACCGCGGCGCTCTGGCTGCTTAGACAGGGTTCTCAAAATCATGCCAATGTCATTGGGCATATTTGAAAGATGTTAAATGCACAGAGAAGTACTCGTTCTACTAAAACAACTGTTTGGCCGGTGATCGCATCAAATGATATTAAATTTATAACACGATTTCAGAGACTGTCCGTGAGTGGTTTTCTTTAAGGCGTTTTGTCGATGCAGAGGTTGAGCACTTGGCTGCTGAATGGTAAGTCAGAAGTTCAAATTCACCAGCCGCCCCACATGAGAAGTGCCAGTCTGCTTCGGTAAAGAATCACAGCCTTGGGCATGCTGTGGGGTAGTGCTGTTTGGCCCGGTAGGGCAGCCCGGGAGTACAGTCAACTCAACCAGAATGGGTTTTTAATGGATTGTTTGTGTTAGTAAGTAAAAACAAAAAATGTTAAACCCACAAGTCTAACCTAAAATTCATTTTATAGTTAGTATTAAAAGATCACAGTAGTCGAAAGGTTAGGCTAATCTTTCTGGTTCTGCTCTCTATCTAAAGACTATTGATATGAATTTTGATATGACTTTTGAGACCATTGCTTGAAGATATTTTCCATAAATTTGATATTAAAAAATCATAACCTGGATGCATGGGAGAATATTCGTTTCACTAAACAATGTTGTAAGAGTTCCGTTTTATAAGCAAACGTCTCTGTTCAGTTCTGTTATGTATTGTCATATCTACCCACTCGGTAGGGGAAGCTAAGCCAGAACTAGGCAGTTCTGTTTAACTATAAGCTACTTTGCATGTTGTCACCAATGAAGACCTATAAATCATGCAAGTCGGACTCAGCCCACAACACAGCATCTTGACAACAAAGCGCAGGTAAGAGACCTCTCCCTTGGGACTTATGGGGGACAATAAGAAGATGGTTTTAAGAGAATCCCTAGGCAAGTTTGATAAGTGGCTTGGCAGCTGATGACTCGTTATCTTAGGCTAACAAATATCGCCCCTATATTGAACGATAAAAGATTTTTTGTGTGGATTAAATTATCTGCAGAAGTGGAAACATTCTGGTTTGGAGTCTGAAGGCCTCAGTTCTGGTCATGCTCTGCTCCTAACTGCGACGTTGGCCATGTTACAGCCTCTTTGCACGAGTTTCCCCATTTGGAAACCAAGGGATCGGACTAGAACAATTCTAAGTTCCCTTCCAGTGCTAACATTCCATGATTCAATTAGTTTTTGCTAGATAACGAGTCTTATTAATCTCTGAGAGTAAACATTTTTAATGCTCAGTAGAGCATCCAGAATCTCAAGATTTTATCATGAAGTCCTCATTTGTTTCCCAGAAGAGCTCTAAGATAGAAACCTGAGCGCTTCCCCAGTAGGTGTGTTTGTTAGCAAGACATGTATGAAGAGCCTTTCCTTTTCAGACGTGGACTCAACTTGTAGAAACATTCCCAGCCTTCACTTCCTATCTCGTTTCTTCATCACGGTTTGCTTTTGCTTTTTCATTCACGCACTCTGTTGTTTTATGGTTGTCTTCTTTGAGTACAAGGAGACTCATCTAAATGCTATTAGGTTAATTGATGAACTTGCTGGAAGTGCTCAACAGAACAGGCTTCTCTCATCCCTGGGTCTCCAGAGACACCACATTCTTTACCCAAGAATCGTGCAAACTCTTGAGACCTGAAACTTCATTAAAACAAAACAAACTCACTGCCAACACGTCGGTTCTGACGCAGAAAGACCCTGTAGGACAGAGTAGAGCCACCCCTGTGCATTTCCAGGACTGTAACTATGTAAAGATGGGTAGAAAACCTCATCTTTCTCCTGAGGGGTGGTTGGTAGTTTCAAACCACTGACCTTATAGTTAGCTAGCAGCCCTACTACCCCACTGGGGCAGACATACTACTCAATTCATCTCAGTCAAGGTTTAAGATAGTGAAATGACCTTTCAGCATCAAAGCACGCCTCAAGGAATTCTTTAATGACATCTGCCCTACCTTTTCGGTACCCCTCTGAGTTGAAGGCAGAAAGGAGGCTTGCTCTGCTGTTGTGAGATACGCAGTCATGCAGGCTTGATCCTGGCCTGGAAGTTCCCACCTCTTCCCTCTCAGCAACTTCTCCTTGGCAGCATCTTGGCTGGTGTTGGATCTTCTGCAATGTCTGTGTTTGTCCCTTATTTTAGGCCATTTGGTCAGTCATTAGGAATCTCTCATTTCCTGTCCTTCGGTTTTAATACTTATTTGGGGCAATGGCACGTCTCTGAGCCACCCCACCTCCCACCTCCACCCCGTGTTAGAAAGTGCTTCCCCTGGCATGGACTTCTACAGCCTCAAGACTCCTTATACCCCACCCCAGCCCCACCCTTTCAGTCTCCACAGTCCCTTGTCCTTTCACCCTAGACAGGCTTTTTCACACTTTTGCACCACGTGGGTTCCACTGCTTAGAGGCTGCCCCGCCCACTCCCTGGCACAGCCGCAGAGCTTTGGCCTGTGTTCAGAGAGCAGGGCCACTGGGACCTGAACTGGCCACAGACGCCCCAGGGGCTGTGAAGTTGATACCAGTGATGGCCTCTCGAGTGTCAGCAGCACCGATTTCTTGGGAAGTAACTCTCTAAGGATCTTCTGAGGATCCTCTGGGTGGATTTAACTGTTCATCTTTGGGTAGCGACCCGAGTGCTTTAACTACCCAGACATCTTAAAACCAACACCCCAAACTCACCGACATCAAACTGACCCTGGAGATCAGAGTAGAACTGCCCCAGAGAATTTTCAAGGCCGCATACGAAGGGGTCTGGGAAAGTTGTGGACCATCGTAGAGGGATGGGAATAGCCTGGGTATCAGACAGAGCACAGTGTAAAGTGGGTGATGGCAGATGTGGTTAGGTTAAACTAACATCATCTGATCTCCCTTTTACTATTCTCTGTCTTCGTTTTGATGGAGATTTTCTGCTGTTTTACTTCATTATTATTGTTAATTTGTTTATTTGTTTTATATGTCTTTCGGTATACGAAATCCAGGAGAGTTCAATCTACAGAGACAGCAACTGGATTAGTCCTTTTTTGAGGGAAGTTTGGGGGAAATGGAGCTAGTAACGAACAGCACAAAAATAAAGAAGATGTTCTAAAATTGAGGTGATGATTATACAACTCAATATGATTGAACTCTATAACATTTGAATTAGCCAATAAAACGGGGAGGGAAAAAAAAACAACCGCCCAAAAAAGTCATAGAAAAAGAATCCATGATGTGTTTGTTCTATTTTTTCCGTGAGCTTTTTGAAGCTTCTTGGTGCCTTGTGTTTTGTCTCGCTCTCCACTCCCAATTGAATTCTCATCACCACCTGTAGAGCAGTTAATGTCTCCCTTGGACATAGGAGGAAGCTAAAGCTCAGAGTGGTTCAGAGCTTGACTGAGGCTATACAGCGAGGCAGGGGCAGAGCCAAGTTTGAAAATCCACGGAAGGAACCCATTGCATGAGAAGCCCTCGTGGCCGGCTGGTGATGCCTGGGGCTGCTGACCCAAAGGGTGGACACTTAAAGCCAGCAGCTGCTCCGCAGGAGGACGGTGAGGCGTTGTACTCCCCCCGTCCGGTAGGGTGCTATGAGTTTGCGTTTTAACCCGCTGCCAACCTCTGTCGTGAGCAAGGTCCGTAGATGAAACCCACCAGCCGCTGTCCGGGAAAGAGAGGCGGCTTTCTTCTCTCGGACAGGGGCATGGCCTCCGAAACCCGAAACCCGCAGGGGCGGTTCTGCTGTGGTTACTGTGAGTTGGAATCGACCCGATGGCAGTGCGTTGTTTTCATTTTAGCTTTTTAAAACCATGCTGACTCCTGGTGACCCTGATTCCTGTGACTAAATTCCAGAGTAGGCAGTCTGATCTTTTCTCCACGGAGTGGCTGGTGGGTTTGAACCGCCGATCTTGCCATTAGTAACCCACTATCTAACCCCCACCGCCTCCAGTGCTCCTTCGAGTGTGTTGGGACTGAGTGAAAAAATGCTCTTTTCCGATAGCTGTTGTCTGGTTAAGCTCCATGTCCCAGTCCAGTGTGCCACGACGGTGCTGTCACAAGGCAGAAAGGAATCGTTTAGAACACTAGGTGGCTGCAGACCTGTTCGGGAATCACACGGGCGTTGGTGCGGGCGGACCTCCCGGCGTGTTTCACAGCCCAGCACTCCGTGGGGCAGGGACAGATGCACTTCTTCAGTAGACCCAAAGTCCTCTGCGAGGAGCTTTAAGTGGCGTCAGAAGAGCTTCTCACCTAAAGTTACATTTTGCTGTTTCGAATACCCATCGTAGAATGCTCACAGTTCAGAGACTTCTCCGGGAACCCGCCTCCCCGTGCCATTGGCTACATTCTCACCACCTTTCCGGAGTCCTTCCTTTCTCATTAGCATCCTAGGGGGCTCCAAAAAGTTTGTGGGGAAAGGTGATTAAAAGAGAATGGAATTGTCACTCTTGCAAACTCGACACCCCTAAGCTTCCTCTGTAGCCTTTGCAGACGCCGTTCTCTCCTAGAACCCGCGGGACACGGAGATCTAAACACCGACATTCTTTCCTAATCCTACCCGGGTTGGTTTAAAGAGGACTTTACCAAGGGCTCAAGTAGAAAGAAAATGTTTTGAAAATGATGATGGCAACAAATGTACAAATGCTCTTGACACAGTGGATGGATGGATGGATTATGATAAGGGCTGTATGAGCCCCAATAACATGGTTTAGAAATAAAGAGGACTTTAGGGGATATTTTTTGGTTTAACATTAAAGATTATATCAAGGTAGTCCTTTCTGTATCTTACCCGCCCTCAATGACTCCAGGAAGTTACAGTCACCTTTTAAAAGCGAATCTCCCCTTTCTTGTTTTCAGTTGTGGTTCGGCCCTGGCGTGGAGGGCATAGTACTTAGGGCTGTGAGTCTGTGTGCTCACAAACGAGTCTGTCATTCCTCCCACACACGGGTGAAGATTGTGGCATTTCTGCGTTTCTCAAACCTTACAGTTTGTTTTCATCACAGCTGGATTCTGCCTCTATTATTTACTTAATATTTTCCTTTTCACTCTTTTAAAAAGGAGCTCTGCACCACCATCAGTGTGAAATCAGTAAAATTAACAAGAAAGAGAACAATAACAATATTAGTAAATGCTAGTGAAAAACTGGTTACATTGTAAAGCAAACAGCCCACAACCCGCAGGATATGAACAGAGTCGTAAGAGAAGGGAAAATGACTGATAAAAGCGTGAACAGCAACAAAAAACATGGCTAGCAAATGAGTTCCAGCTCATAGCAAACCCTAAGAGACAAATGTAGACTGCCCCACTGTTTCCAAGGGGTGGCTGGGGTCCCAACTGCTTTCTTTCCAGTTAGAGGCCCAGGCCTGGCAACAGCGCCACTGGGGATCCTCCGCTCGGTAATGCCGCTGGTTGAAGACTGTTCTGCTGGGGATGAGACAGCCCTCTAGTCTAATCGTAAGGATTGGAAGGATGCAAGAGCATGAACTTTCTCACAGGCTGACTGATGACTGTGACTTGAGGCTGTTGTGGGTACCAGTGAAAATCGTCTCTTACCACCCGCAGACGGCTACCCCCTCCCAGAGTTCTTGTCGTGAGCCCAGAGCTATTCACTCATCAAGGCAGAAAAGTCTTTCAAAGTAAATGTTGTCTACTCTGCTCTGGCCAAATTAATAAACTTGGTTATATTTCCAGGGAACAGAGGGGAATGATGGACAATAGAAGCTACTCCAATCTGCCAGACCAACTGCCCGTCTTCTCCGATTCGGCCCACCTGCCGCTGGCCCGGTCCTTCTATCTGGACCCGATGGTCACTTTCCACCTGTACCCTGAGACCCCAGGGCCAGCCCCTTACCCCGAAGAGCAGCCGCTGCTGCCCTGTTCCAGCAACTCCGTGACATTCGAGAACTATGCTGAAGCCTGCCCCTTCTCTTTCCCAGTGCCTTACCCAAACTACAGAAGGTGTGAGTACGCCTACGGGCCGGCCTTCATCCGGAAGAGGAACGAACGCGAGAGGCAGCGGGTGAAATGTGTCAACGAGGGCTATGCCCAGCTCCGCCATCACCTGCCCGAGGAGTATCTGGACAAGCGGCTCAGCAAAGTGGAAACGCTCAGGGCTGCCATCAAGTACATCACGCACCTGCAGTCCCTTCTGTGCCCTGAGAGGGCGGAGGCCACCAAGAATCCGGGGACCGGGCTTCCCCTCCTGGCGACCACCAGCCACCACACTGACCCCATATTTAGAATCGTCTGACTCAGTGTCCAGACAGCATCCTTCAGCAGTTTCGAAATGGAATTCTTCAGTGTGAGCAGAGTTCAAATGCTAACTTAGGGTGGCTTTCCTGTTGACTGTGAATTTCATTGTTCATTACTCGCCTGGGTTTGAGATGTACTCATAACATCACCTTATATAGACGGGCAAGACATGTCTGAATTTTTAGGCATCTCTCAAGAACTTTAGGGGGTAGAGGCATGTCTGTCTTTCCCACACTTGGCCAGTCTCCGTTGGGAGAAGTTCTCACAAGGGCTCTTTGTGATGATGCGTGGCGAGGGGCAATTCAATACTTGACGTGCACCTCACCGACGCTTCAAGCTAAGCAGTCACCATGGATTTTTCCAGATTTGTCTAAGTTTGATGTTCGTTGTTTTCAATTCTCTAGGATCAACAAGAAGTCTATGCCTTACCCATGTCACCATGGGAAAGTATCTTGGAGCTAATGCAAACATTCTGTACAAAACCTTGTTTCACTGGAAAATGTGTCAGTGTGGTATTTTTGCTCCATGCTTGAGACTTCCCCAGACAGCGCGGTGTAGGAGTTAAGAAGGAGTCAAAGCTGCTTTGGTTTAAATTCTGCCTCTGCTTCCTACAATCTGTGTCTCGGCACCTCATCCACAAAACGGAAGTGATGGCAACAGCAACTATGCCATATGTCAATGACGAGGCCGGAGGGGGCCTGACACCTATTACTCCCTTCATCTTTTTCTGGCCCTAGCATCCCCATTCCTCGGATCCCCTCAGCTGCTAGGACTTTCTATAACCCTTGGGATGGGTAGCTGCTTGTGTCTGGGAGTTGGCCTGCACAGTGCCTTTCTATTGCTGCCCCATCAGCTGGGCAGGCATGACAGTCTTCCAGAACCCCAGCAGCAGCAGAGTGCAGGCCTGGTGTGCCGGTCTCTGGACAGAAGTGGTCACTGGGCTGAATTTAGGACCATCCCTCCTTGCCCAGATGGCCAGCCCACCATCTGCCATGGCCTGCAGGGACTCCCCAGGCCCTCCTAGGGATGGAACCAAGGGTCAGTCCTACTGGCCCTGGCCCCTGCCTCTTGACCAGCCTCTGTCTGTGTCTGCAAGGACACCTGGGAGCCATGAAAAAGCCTGTTCCTGGGCATTCTGGGTCACTGTCTCACTGGGCAATGGGAGAGTTGTCTGGCACCTTCTCTCCCCATCCCCGAGGCATGGGCAGAGTGCCCGGGGGACAGGGGTGGCTGTGGGGGACCTCGCTGGCTTGTCTCTAGTGAAGGTCTCCAGCCACCTCCTTCCTACCCAGATGTGGCCCCAGGACACTGGCTGGGCCCTGCTGGCCACTCTCTAAGCCCAGTCAGTGCAGCCCCTCAGGGAGTGCGGCTCAGCGTCCTCGCTGTGGCATGTGACCGAGAAGGCCTCACCCCGTAGAGGATGGGGCACAAATGACCAGGGAATCGAGCCATCGGGGAGGGGGGTGCGGTGGCTGGGAGTCTGTTTCCATGGCCAGCTGCAGCTCCTCCCTTCCCTGCGCTCCCAGCTCCCATTGGTCACCGAGCCCCGTCAGGACTTCTGTATGCTGCCACACCATCTCCACTGGCATCTCTCTTATGAAGTCTTTTCCAATTGTCTGCCTTTGCCATCACTTGAAGACAGGCCCCAGTCTTATTTAACCTAAGTTCCTAGCGCCCAGCAAAAGGTCTCAGAGTAAGTACCTATCAATCAATCAGTGTTTTTGTGTTTCAGTCATTCAAATGCTATCACCTCGTGTCTATGCCACCGTTAGCTGTCCCTTCCTTGACTTCCTCTGCCATGTTCCCCACTGGCTCCAGCTGCACTTCAACTTTCCTTCTTCAGGCCGTTCATGCCCCTCTACCACTGACTTTCACTTGACCACCACGTTGACTTTCACTTGACCACCATGTTGACTTTCACTTGACCACCACGTTGTCACACTTATATACTTGGCTCTTAAAGTCCCCTGCATTCAGACCCCATATCAGACCCCACCCTGATCACCCAGATGCGTCATGTCCTCTGTGTTTGGGTCCTTTAGAGAAACAAAGCCACAGAAACTCATGTATAAGAGAGAGTTTTATATAAAGTTTAAGTGCACATCAAGAAAACATCCCAACCCAGTGCTGCCCAAGCCCACAAGTCCAACAGTACCCCATTAACCCATATGTCCGACACCAATCCACAAAGTCCTCCTCCATCTCACAAAACACACGCAATGACGCCGACTGCAGGGGGAAAGCCAGATCAGTGAATGTGTAAGCATCTCAGCGCTGGCAGGGGTCTCCACACGCGTCCTCCAGCATCCAGGGCTGCATCAGGGTAGGTTCATGTAGCTTCTTCTTGGGGATGTGTAGTATTAAATTAAATGACGAGGAGGGGGAGGGGGGGGCCAGCCCCCACCCGCTGCTTCTAATACTACCCACGGGTTCGGTAATGCACAATTGTACGGTTGAGATATATAAACGTTATATTAAAGTCATCAAGAGCATGAGAGATATTACAACAATACAGTCAGACACGCTACATGGTAGCATTGTTCACCTCTGCCCCGCTTGGTGGTCCTCATGGGGGGAACCCGGCTGCCAAAGCAGAAGCCGCCTCCCTCGCTGCAGCAGCCCTCTCGTCCACTACCCTCATGGGAGCAGCCTCTCGTCCACTGCCCTCATGGGAGCAGCCCTCCCGTCCACCTCTCTCTCGAGAACCAGGGAGCCTCCTTATTTATTGCTAACCACACATCATATCACTTTAGGGGGATACATCACAGTATCATGCATCACAGAGAGGGGCAATACAATTCACAACAACCTGCGTCATAGGGAGGGGTTGCAACATAGTCAATACAAGCAATAGGAAGGGGATGACCTAGTCATCTTGGAGTGGTCCCGGGCTTGCCTTTGGGCACTGCTTCAAGGGAACAATGTCAGAAGGGAATGGGCCCTATTTGGGGTGAGTCAGACTATACAGTCTGGCCGCTCTAGATGGCTGATGTTAAGAATAACCTCTGACCTATTTTTGCTGACCGCCTAGAGTACAGTCATTCTCAAGCAGCTAAGTCTGGTACATATTATTGGGGAGACAGCTTAAGAGAAACCCTCCTGTTCCCCACAGGGATGTCTTGCAGGAAGTCAGCCTTGCCAGCTGAAGCAGGGAACTGGCTAAGGCAGCTGCACCCTGGTCTGACCATCAGAAATCAAGAGATCCGAGAACTAGAAAGGCGAGGCTCACTGAGCCATTTATAGCTCCACCTTTCAATTAACCCCACATGTGTTTATCGGCCAGCTTGGCACAATAAACTACCTACCTCATCCTTAGAAAAGAAGAGCATAGTCTTACAAATGCCCGGGATGCCATCCTCTTCTTCCTCTCTACACGATCAAAACCCCAGCCGCTGCGTGCAGGAATGAACCCTGCCACGGCTGGAGGCCTCGGTCTTTGGACCCAGACTGACCTTGCGCACCAACTAGCTCCGCCTGTATGGCCGCGGCAGTCACCCTCCTGAGTACAAGGTTGCATTCTGTGAGGAAAAGCATCGGTTAAGGTACCTTTGGTTGTCCCCTGTTGCTCCCTAAAAAGAACAAATGCAACCCTAACTGTGGCTTCAATCCAGGTGGTTTATCGATTCATAGAACTGAAACATCTAGCAGTAGGCTTGTCTTCAAGAACTTGTTTTCTTTAGTTCTATCCTGCCTTCTGCAGGGTCCTAAAATGGCTGTAAGAAACTTCCAGAACCGCCTGTTTGTTTATTTATGCAGAGAGAGAGAGAGAGTCTGCATCTCAGGATGGCCAGCAAAAGTCCCAGGGTCCGTGCTGATTGCAGCGGCTCAGAATATGCCCATTCCTAACCAGGCCGTGTGGCCCGAGGGCTGGGATATGCTGGTTGGCACGGGTTCCAGCCCTTGGGGGTCCAGACAGTTTCTCCCAGCCACAGGGCTCTCCCCAGAAACAGGAGACATTCATCCATGGCTCTGCGACCGTGTTCTGTGTTTCCCACCAAACAATGCTGGGCACATAGCAGTCAGATGCCACAGTACAGCAGGGTCCTCCCGCGGTGTCTGAACAAGGTCTCTTGTGCCTACCAAGACCTGAGGGCTCCGCATGCTGGCAGGCCCTGCCACCTGCCTGCTGTGTGGGAGTGGGTGCCGGCCGTCCCAACTCCATCAACCTTGGGGAGCCCTGAGAACTGTTCTCATGAAAGCCGTCGGATGTGCACATGGAGTGCAAGACAGTAGAGTCTGCACCTGTTCCGACACCACTGCCCGGCCTCACACGTGCTCACCATCCCTCATCTCTCCAGCAGAGCCCCGTCTGTCCAGCGCATGCCCACATCTTTGGTTCTTTTGCTAGCCTCCTGCTGCCCAGAGTAGAGACATATCAAGAGCCCTGATGCTCTGTGGGGGTCAGTTGTCTCCCTCACAGGACTCCCCTGAGACCCACGGGGGTTCAGGATGGGACTGGCTCTTCTGGTCATGGAGATGCCTGCCCTTGGGGAGCTGAAGCTCCCTTGCCCTTTTTCTCCGCCTCTGCTCCCTCCCAGGGTCTTCCTGGGAGTGTGCAGAACCACCCCCTGCTCAGCCACTCCCAGGGCTCTGTGGACCTTCCTTCTGAAACCTCTCTGCACTTGCTCACTCCTCTCACTGGGCTGCATGTTGCCGCTGGCTTATATCCATGGCAGCCTGCCTGGCAACCAGGACTCAGTCAGGCTGATCCCCAACTGTCAGAGGGAGCCACGGAGGCTGAGGTGGAGGTTTGCAGTGCGAGGCTGTGGGTAAGTCCCTTTGGGGTGAGACCTGTGCACTTGGGACTCTTGAGAATGGCCCGGTGGGCTGGGGCAGTGGAGCTGGATCTTGGACCCTGGGTAGAAGCGGTTGTCTGTGAAGTTTGGAGGTAGCTGGGCCCTGGGTTAATCCAGGAGGTGTTTGGGTCAGGAGAGAAGTTTGTGACTTGGTTTAAAGGGTCGGTTTGTCATCAGGGTGAGGGTTTGTGAAGAAAAGAATGGTCTTCCCCTCTTGGGGGGGGGGGGCGGTTCCTGCTACTGGTGAAGCCCCCCAAACCAATGGCCATGACGTTGATTGTGACTCATAGCTACCCTATCAGAAGCTCCAAACTCACTGCCATCAAGTCAATTCCAACCCACGGTGGCCTGGTGGTATCGTGGGTAATGAACTGGGCAAGTAACCTGAAGGTCGACAGTTCAAATCCACTAGCCTCCCCCAAGGGAGAAAGATGAGGCTTTCTACTCCTGTAAAGGTGTACAGCCTTGAAAGCCTACAGGTTCCCTAGGAGTTGGAACAACCCCACAGGACAGAATGAATCGAAGCCGAAGCCAGCTAACTGCTTCATCTCTTCCCTTCGGCAGCCCACCCACCTTCGGTTAGGAGCCTGATGCACACTGCAGAGAAGGGAGGGGGCTTCAGAACGTCTGTGGGACAATGGAGTTAAATCAGAGTGGAGTTTCCCACCAACTCTGTGAAGCCCGGAGGAGCCCTGACCTCCTCCATGTGCCGGATTTGGTGCGTGCTGCCTCCTGAGCACTGGCCGCGCAGAGAAGCCAACGCACAGCCGGCCAGCGAGCAAAAGGGATTTAAGGCCCTTTCCCTCAAGTCCCAGCCCTTGCTCGTTTAACCCGGCCCCTCTTTCCTGATTGGGTGGCACTCAGGTGACTCACAGAAGAATTAGTGACTGTGGGAGAGGCAGGTGACCTGCACAGCTGCAGGGGCTTAGCTGATGATGGTGTTGTTCTCAGGTGGCTTCTGTGAGCCACGGACTTCTCCACCGGGCCCGGGGATGCCTGCACCCAAATACTGCAGTGTGACTACCACCCTGAAGGCACCTTGCTGGGGTGGGGCAGCTCCTCTCTGGGACCTGTCCTTCGCCTGCCCCTTTGCCCTGCGACCTCCCTGGCTCACCGGGCACAACCTCCTCACAAGGTACCTACCTGCTGTGCTAACTGGGGGGCGGTGTATGCACCTTGGCCTTTCTCATCGTGCGTGGGCGCTGGATGGTATGTGCTGGGAGGAGGGCTGTGTGCCTGAATGGGAGGCTGAAGGGCCTCTTATTGTTGTGGCTCATTGGCCTGAACACAGCAAGTGAGTGTCCTACTTCCCAAGTCACCCAGGGAGCTCCAAGGCTGACCTGGTGGTCCGTGGTCGCCGTGGGTGTGCGTAGAATCACCCGATTGTAAAGTGTCCTCACGCATTTTTACCATCAACTATGGGGCTTCCTCTGGTCCGACAGGAGGAATTCATTTCTACAACTGGCAACTCAGCTGGCACCCAGGCCCACTCAGGTTCCTTCAGTGTCCCTCAATGACCTTGACTTTCCCTCAATGACCTTGACTTTCCCCAAAGAGCGTCTCCAGGCAGCTGGATCCAAGTCGACTCCTACTGGGCACATGGGCAAAGGAAACTCCGAGTCAGTTCCTACTCACAGTGCCCTTGTAGGGCAGGGGCCTGGGCTTTCCCCACAGCTATAAGTCTTTATGGGCACAAGCACTTGAACCCCTTTCTCTCGGAGCAGCTAGTAGGTTTGAACCACAGACTTTCTGGGTTGTAGCCAGGCACGGAACCACTGTGCTACCAGAGCTCCTTCCTGGAAGAGCTGTTGGGAAAATCCCATCCTCTCTTCATTGCATTTTTTCAACAAGTGTTTTGAAATCCCATGTACAAATTGGGTAAATTCCAGGGACACACACGTGACCGTGGTATTGAACTCGGGCCACCTAAGTGAGGAACACACCACTCCAAAGGGTCTTTTAAGGTCCCTTTCCGGTTCACCTTTGTGGGCCAACCAGTTCAAGGCCAGCACTGGGCATCCTTGGTACCCAGGCCTGAGCTCCTTGCCCACACAGGAAAGAGCTGTCACAGACCTTAACCACTGACCCAGCCCTTCCGCAGGCACCATCCTGCACACCCACTTCTCTGGCTCAGAGCCCCTTGGCCAGCGCCTTTGTAGCTGCAGCACCTCCTCGTCCCCCGGGCCCCACAGCACCAGGAGCCTTCCCCATGTTGCTCCTTCGGCATTTCCCCTTCCCATCCTGGAATCCCACGGGTTTCCTTTGCATAATGCCTTCCTGGGGCTCCTGGCCCGTTGAGTCATTTCAGAACCAGCAGAAATGAACATGATCACATCAAGCCTAATGACTTTTTGAGTATTGTGACCCCATCAAATTGCCAACCTTCATACAATGGTTCCCCACATGCTCCTCCTTCCCTTTCCCCTCCCAACTGTCCACTTTCTCTTCCTGGAAGTCACTGGTCGCTACTTCCACCTGGCCTTCTGTTCTCGTACCTCGTGTCCCACGCACGCTGGCCTCTGCAGAGCAAACAGCGAAGTGTGTTTCTGGATGGTCTTAGGGTTTGGGTTTCACTGCCCTCTGATCCCACTGGCTTCCCCCAGGTGTGTGTCTAATCACCCATGGCTCCAAACTGCTGGCCTAGCACGGCAGGGGCCTGGCTGGCCAGGAAGAACCGAAAACGCTGCTGACACGTGGGTTCTGGCCAGAAGGGAACCAGATGGCTTTTATTACCGGGCTCGGATAAAGGCTGCTCCTGAGGCAAGTCCCCACCTTGCACCGGCATTTCCCAGCACGCTCCTTGAGGGTGGCCCTGCGGGTCAGGGTCCCGGACAGGCACAGATCTGCCACAGGCGGTCTGTGTTCAGGAAAAGTTCAAGATGTAGCATTTTCAGCCAAAGGGATCAAACCAACCATTGCCCTTGAGCCCAGACCTCATGTGCATCAGAGTAGCACCTGCTCCGCAAGGCTCTTCAAGGCTGGAATCTTGGAAGCAGATCAGCCCTTGTTGAGCTAGAGAAAGCAGGCTCCAGAGCAGGCACGGGGTGGGGGGTGGAAGCGCACTGGGGAACAGGCAGAGGGCCCAGGGTCAGAAATGGAGGTGAGGGAGAAAGATGACTGGGGAGCGGAGGAGGGGAGGGGAGGGGAGAAAGCAAGCAGCAACCCATGGGAGGCCACCGGAGACAGTCTCGGTCGGCCTCGGCAGCCCCGGCTCTCGGCATCGGTGCTTGGCCCTGCTTTCACTGGCACTTGCTGTTTGCAAGGAAAACCCTGGGCCTGGGGCTCCCTGCTGTACTTCCTTAGCCTGGCGCCCTTCCTTCCTAACAGCTGGAGAGGCAGGGGGCCCTGCTTGTGGAATTTGAGGCCCCCCAGATCACAGGCCCAAGGCTGTCAGTCCAGCGGCACCGGCACCGTGTGGTCTTGAAAGAAGAGGCCATTCAGCTCTCACCACCTATAGTATCCCCACTGCGTCCTGGGGACAAGGTACTGGCACCCTGGGAGCCTAACGGACAGCGGTACGGCCCTGGCACTGTTCTCTTGGGCTTGGAGACCAGAGAGCCTGAGAGAGGTAAGCTGCTCTCACCCACTGGGCCTCAGAAGGAGCCAGGCTGGTCAACAGGCCAGAGAAGAAAGGGGGGTGGTGGTGGTGTGTGTGTGTTCATTCCAGAGCTCAGGCCAGAGAAGGGTGGTGTGGTGTGTGTGTGTGTGTGTGTGTGTTCGTTCTTTCCAGAGCTCAGGGATCTTAGAAACACGAAAACAACCAAGCATTTCAACCTCCTCATGCATAGCTTCCTCTTGGGGTACAATCCCTAGCTGATCAGAAAATACTTTGGGCACAACGGTCTAACACGAATGTGCATGTTGGCTGGCTATCCTGTGGTGTAGTAGGGTTCTCTTGGGTCACGGTGGGATTCACGACTCCTCCTCCCCCACCCAGCCCTCCACCTGTCCTCTTCTCCAGAGCCAATCAGCACTGTGTCTACCATAGAGGTTCTTACCCCCTGCCTTCCCACCCCGCCCACCCCGTGCACTTTGGTTTTAACATGGAAAACAAAGGTCCCCGGAGGTCATCTTGCAGCCCCGGAGCCAGGCTCACTTGGTGCCACTGGGCTGGGGAGCTTCCCACAGGCTCTCCGGGGAGTATCGACGATGAGGAGCCAGGCAGGCGGAGAGGCTGTGTGCACTGAGGCTCTGGCTTTGGGGACTGGAGCACCCTATCTCCACTCTGAAGGAGCTTCAGGGGAACCAAGGCTGTGCCCTTCTCCTGTAGGGCCCAAGGATGAAGAAATCACGGTTCACTTCTGGAATGGCAAGACGACCACAGTACCTCCAGGTGGTGCCATCTGGGTGCCCCTTGTGGTCTGGCAAGCCGCTGTGGAGAGGCTGCACAAGCCAGTCACGAGGGAGCACCTCGGGCCCCTCCTCTGGGCTCCTTGCTGCTCTCTGCCAGGACCGGGCCCTGGCTGTGTCCACACCGGGCTTCCTCTGGGCACTCAGTTCCTCTGCCCTCTGTGTCCATCCCACACCTGCTGCCAGCCGCTGTGCCTGGGCTCCCTCTGCTGCTGTCCCTCGGCTAGACCCACCTGGTGGCCTCTACCCGGGACCTTGGCTGAGGACACAGCCGGGGAGCTGCCAGGGCCAGAGCTGAAGCCCACAGCACAGCTTTTGCCTCTAGAGGGCCCCCAAGAGCTGGCGGTGCAGGCGCCAGTGAGCCTTTCTCCCTCCACCTCCACCTCTGCCGAAGATGATTTAGAGAATGACCTGCGCATGGGCCTTCCCCCAAGACTGCAGGGTAGCAGCACGCTCAACACAGCAGCCCCGGTGCTGGAGAAGCCTCCACGGCAGAGGGGGCTCTGCCAGCCGGCATGGAGGTACTGGAGGAGAAACGGCTTCGAGCCTCGTCCTAGGCAGCCAGGTATGCCAGGGGCCCAGGGCACTCGGCTAAGGCCCCCTGCCCATTCCCTTCCACATGTTTCTCAGGAATTTGATGCAAGTGTCCACTCGGTTGGGATTGGAAGGAACACACTGGGAGTGGGGTCATGTTGAAGGGGTAGCTGTGCTTCGAGGGAAACGCTGGCTTTTAAGCAACCACGCCCAATGAGAAAGGACAAACCGATCTATGGGCCAAGGTTTGCATTCCCACGTAATGCCTATCTTTTGTTTATTCAAGAACACAGCTCTGGTGGTGCTGTGGGCTGGGTGTTGGGCTGCTAACTACAAGGCTGGTGGTTCGAATCCCCCAGCTGCTCTGAGACAGACCCATGGGGCTATCTCTTCCCGGTAGGGTTTGCAGTCTTGGAAACCCATAGAGGGCTGCTGAGAGTCAGAATGGACTTCTGGGTGTGATTTCCTTAACTGGTCTTTAGTGACAGGCCACTGCCAGGATCTGTTTTGGACCCTCTTCCGCTGTTTATGCTTGGAGACCTTAGCTTTTCTCTAGTCTAGGTTAAGGTGACCAGACGTCCCGCTTTTGGCAGGGCAGTCCTGGTTTTTAACAATTTGTCCCGCGTCCCGCGGCATTTTTAAAAAGGCCCGATTTTTTGAAAGAATGCACGACAAGCTAGGGTATACGGTTTTCGGCTGCCATGTGGCTATTTCGCCAGGATATGAGTTTTATCAATGGTATCCCGCTTTACCAATGTTACAATCTGGTCACCTTAGTCTAGGTGGATTGCCAAAATGCCTTCAGGTGCTGATGCGGGGTGGCCAGTGCCTGGAGGAGCAGAGAAACCTGTGGGTAAACAATGGTCAGCAGGCCTCTCTTCGTGTCTTAGAGGAGCCTCTCTGTTAGATGGGGAGGGCCAGGGCCCTGTCTTACGCCGCAGGTTCTTCTCAGCTAGCAGGGACCAACCCACCCCCTGCACTCACCGCCATGAGTTGATTCTGACTCCTAGTGATGGTGACCCTATCGAGAAGGGCAGGACTGCCGCGCTGCGTTTCTGAGACTCTTTACCAGAGTAGAAAGCCTCGTCTTTACCCCTCGGAACAGCTGGTGGTTTCGAACTTGAGGTTACCAGCCCGACATGTAACCCACGACCCCACCAGGCCTCTTCCGCTAGCAGGGAAGCAGTGTCTGAAGCGCTGCTGGCACTCCGTGGCCATCGCCAGACTTCCACACTTTGTCCTAAGAACGTGGGACACCCTGGAGGCTTGAGGACCAGCATCCTGATCACCTTCACTATCTAATTTCCCAAAGGGACCCAGAGACAGCAGCATCTTGTCAACTGCACTAGAGCTCTCGGGAGCCCTGGGACCTGAGGTAGGGCTCCGGTGAGGGTTCAGGACCCCTTCTCTGTCCGTTTGGGGCTGCCCAAGTCCCAGGACAGCTGAGGCGGCACCTCTCAGCTGCCGAGATTTCAGTCATGGCCCCGGAGTAAGGACCTGTTTAGTTTGCAGTTTCCGAAAAGTGATACATTGTTTCTCCAGCGGGAAGTTTTGAGTGATTCCTTTGGACCCTGGGGCTTTTGGATGTGTGAGGCTGTATCGATGTTTGCTGCTGTAAACCCCCACCCCCCCACCCCCAAAAAAGTGAACCAACCCCATTTTATTTAGCTTTTTCCTCTGAAGAGAATAAGGGCTTTTTTGATCATTTATTTTTGTTGAGAATACACATAGACCATCCCTTTCGACTTGACTCTGTGACCTTACATCTTCATCTTACACGGGTCTCACTCGGCCTCCGAGTCGCTCTTCCTCCATTCATATTAACTCACTGGTCCCTCGGGCTCCTGCAGTCAGTTGGATACCAGAGAGATAGTTCTTCTAAGAGCACAATGCTCCAGGCAGGTAATTTTTTCACTAGTTAGGCTAAACTACTGTTTGGCTTTAAGAAGACTTTAGGGGATAGTTGTGGTTTAAGGGTTATTTTAGGGCAATCAATTTTGGGGGGCGGGCGATCATCCAGCCACCCTGGCTCCAGGCCACGCAGACAGGTCTTTAAAAGAGCACCGTCCTCAAGGCAGACGCTCTTGACTGAGCTGAACGAATATTTGGTTGACTGTCTTGGAAACCCACAGGGTTGCTTACAACGCCAGGGCAGTGAATGGGGGTTTTCTGGTTTACTATTTGGTTTGAAGACGGCAAGGGATATTTTTGGTTTAAGGCTTAACAGGCAATAGTTATTTTAGGGCACTAGTGGGGTTCCTCCAGCCTCTGGAGCTCCAAAGCCGGCATCTAATTTTACAGAAGGGTTTCAGGGCTCCCCCACCTCTGACAGGGAAACCAGGAAGGGGCAAGGATCCAGCTATGGCCATCTGAACTCCGGAAAACATGAAGGGGCTGCGGGAGGGAGGTTTGCGAAGTGGGGCATCGCTCACAGTGGGAGGCCTTGGTGGAAGCCCCTGGGAGATGGCTCTAGTAGAAAGTGATGTTACAAATGGAGCCAAGCCTAGGTTTCCTGCTAAATCCACCAGCACCCTCCCTGCCTCCTGCTCCGGCACAGACCAGAGAAAACAAAGTTGTGCGTACTTACCCAACAGACAGGGGTTTTGGGGAGCTGCTGGGGCAGTATGACAGTAACGACAGTAGTGGGGGCTAACCAGAGGGCCGGTCAGGTCTGCCTCAAATACCTTGTCTTCCCAGGGAGCTCCCAAGCCTGGGTTTCCCAGGCTGAGGCTTGCTCCATGGCCACTCTCTGGCCTCCTGCACAGCCTCGGTTGGTAGGCACAGACCAGACCGTTTGGATCCAGCGCTCCCAGAAAGATCAGTGTGTGGATGCCAGTAGTCACGTCGCTTCCCCTCCCTCCCTCGCTTGCTGTATGAAGGACAGCAGATTCAAGCTGTCATGTTGAAAGATAGGGAGGGGATGGGCTTCCCTAAGAGTAATCTTTCCCTTTTAGATGGGCTATCCTTAAGAAATCACAGCTCTTGTTACTTGTTTTGCTTCATTCGTTGTCTTGGGCTGTTTCCCCACCAGCTTCCCCTCTCTTCATCTTTGTGATCAGCTGTGATTTAGAAACTCCTAGTGTTCAGTTAGCTATCCTTATTGGATTGTTTGAAAAATGAATAGTGAAGCAGGTGATTCTCAATAGAGTTCCCCTTCAAACATCAAGACTCACCCTGTCTGGCATCAGAAGACCCAAGCCAAACAAAATATATGAATGTAAATGATGGGGGTTGGAGTGGAGACTCAACTGGACATCCCCTCGCAGAAAGGTCACAGGAAGGGAACAAGTCAGCCACGGTGCAGCATAGCACCGATGGAACACACACATTCCTCTAGTTCTTTGATGCTCCCCTCCACTATCATGACCCTTGTTCTACCTTACAAATCCGGCTAGACTGGAGCACGTGCACTGGGACAGATAAGAGCTCTTGACACATGGAATCCAGGATAGATAAAGCCCCTCAGGAAGAGTAATGGGAGCAGCAATACCATGAGGGTGGGGGGAAGGTGGGGAGAGAAGAGGGAGAAATGGGGAACCGACTACAATGATCGACATATAACCCTCCCTGCCCCCCGCCCAGGGGACAAACAACAGAAATGTGGGCAAAGGGAGACAGTGGATGGAGTAAGATATGAAAATAATTTATAATTTATCAGATGTCCAGGGAGGTGGGAGGTTGGGAAAAGTGAGCTCAAGGGCTCAAGCAGAAAGAAAATGTTTTGAAAATGATGATGGCAACATATGTACAAATGTGTTTGATACAACTGATGTGTGGATGGTTATAAGAGCTGTAAGAAAACCCCCAATAAAATGATTTATTAATTAAAAACAAGAGAATGAGAACAGGAGAAAAAAAAAAAAAGGCTTACCCTATCAAATGGTGGCATATACAACATAACTGACTGACATCTGGGTTTAGGAGCAAGACCTCTCAACCTGTCTGGAAAGAAGCAGCCAACAGACCACTGAGGACACTGGAGGGAACCACCAAGGGGCTGGGCCTGGAAGCGACCAAGGGAAGCCACCACCGACCGGGCCGGAGGGCAGCGGAACATGAAGACTGAGTCAGGGTCCTGAGACACATCACAGGGAAAGGAGGACTGGGCAGGAGCCTCTTCAGGATGCCCTTACGTTGTTCTTGGACTTTCCAAGCTGGTACCACCACATGAGTATAAGCCCCCCGCCCTTCTTCCCACAAAACACACCCTTGAGTCCTTGTGCCATTTCAAAAGGCTTACAAAACTCAGGAAGTTCATTGGGAGGGGAGGGGCAATGGGAGGATCCCAGGTTAAAGGACCCCATCTCTATGGTGATGGGCCTGGGCCCATCTGACTAGGCCCTGAGTGTAAGTCGGTACTTGACCAGGCATCCTCTAGCTCTAGCTCTGCTGAGCCTTTACTTCCATCGCACATACTACCAGCAGTGTTTCCTAATGGAAGCTTTGTTCTAATTCAAGGCGAGAGAAACTCGCTGGCCACTAAGCTCAGAGACGCGCACGTACGATAGGCAGGGTGGCTGAAAGGCACAACATGGTGACTTTTTCAAATCAGTGACTTCTGACCCCTAGAGGCACAATTGGCTTAAGACTCCCAGGCTTTGATGCTAAAGCTGTGTGGGAGAGTTACAAAGCGTGGCTGGCAAGGGTTTCTGCAATGTAGGGAGGCTGAGTCAGGCCACAGGTGGTAGGTAGTCAGCTGTGCCCACTGAGACTTGTAGCAGGTGAGCGGCAGGGAGGTGCCCCTGTTGCCAGACGTTTCCTTTCCCCTCTTAATACCCATAAAATGGAATTCTCTTCGGTTCCAATCTCTCCCTTTATTATCAATAATTAGTCTCTGCTTGGAAAGCAAGCACTAAAACCAGTTCAGACAGCATTATGACATTATTATTCAGTTAAAAGTGGGTGGGGGTTAAAATAGGCACTGAAAGAGACAGACGCCGGCTCCCAGAGGCTGCACCCCGACAGCACCAAAAGCAGAGTGAAAGCCTTCGTGTCACATTGAGAGTCCCACCGTGGCTTCCTTCTGCTGGCTTCTTACAAAGAGGTGGCGCCGGGTCAGGGGATGAGCAGCATCATATGGGAAAGACCAAGTCCACGCTCTGCCCCGAGCCCACTGCCACCACGTGAGTCTTCTTGGTGAAATCACTGGCGCCGACAGTGACAGAGTAGGTCCCTGGGTAGACTTCTATGTAGAGGTCCTTAGAGATGCTCTCAGCCTGAAACAAAACGACAGTGGAGGCTTTATGTCCCCATGCCATCACCTCAGGCCAGAGGTGTGGTGGCAGCGACAGGAAGGACTGACCGAGGTCCTGCTTGGGCTCAGCGTGGCCACACAACAGCACAGTCACCTCCCTGGGTCTCAGCCCCTCCCACCTGTTTCCTGATTTCTCAACTGACAAATGTATCGAGCTCATAAAAAAGCATGCAGCTGGAAACACTTTGTGAACGTTCAGGGGCTGTAGAAACCTGACAAAGAACGTGCCCGAGTTAAAAGAGATTTGGCAGAGGGAGCGGCTAATGCCGGCTGGTTCGGGGTGCACATGTTAGCAATAAGGCCATGGGCCCTCCCTCAGAATGGTGAGAACCTCTCGCTGTGCTGAGCTGCGCTCATTCTCAGGAAGATAAACACTTCCCATGCTGAGAATACTATGCGTGGAATTCGGCCCAGAAGCCACCAAGGAGCCAAGCTGGCCAAAGCCCTCCCTCCAGGGGGCTGCTTCACCTAACTTGCCCCACACTAGAGGCTGCGGGGACCCTGGGGAGTTTTCTGTGGTGCGCATACCACGCCCCTCCTAGGACAGACTTCACGCAGAGGCTGGTGGGGCCTCGGTTCAAATGGCAAAAGGGCAAAGTCACAAACCAGAAGAGAGTCTGATTGTGCAACAAAGAGCCAGCTGGAGAGCCACTGGAGGCTGAATGCTGGGCCGGGCCCACAGGCGGAAGCGGTCATTTCTACCACCAGGTCCAGGGGAATAAAACCCAAACACTAACTTGAGATTCCCCCTAGGAGAAAGACAGGGTCATATTCTGTGAGCCCCCACCCCTGCCCCAGCCAGCCCGACTCAAAACCTTGAAGACAGACTACAAGCCAATTGTTCCCCAGGCCGATTTCTGCCGTCTATCCTACAAAACGGGGTCTAGTCTCATTGAACTGGTGGGAATGTGTGCGACAAAGCCACCCACGGAGTGGCTGGCTGGTGGAAACAAAGGGAGGTTTCAGAAAGGCCGATGGGGGATTGCAGAAGGCCTTCTGTTTTGCATAAAATGACACATGGGGGCAGGGCACACCTGTGACTCCTGGCTCTGGGGGCAGATATCCCCATTCCCTCAGGTCACAAGTTGGGGCACAGCTTGGATTTGTGACTCAGGTGGAATACGGTTAGTTGCTACCGTTTTGGCTAAGTCTGAATCCTCGCTAGTAGTGACTTGCATTTTTAAAGAAAAGTTATCGCAGAGACGTGTTAAAAAGTCCCCTTCTTAAGAGTTCTGGCCCTGCCAAGTTCCAGAAGTTTCCACTGACTTGTGAATTAATGAGCACAGCAGCCTAACAATTAAAAACAAAACTCGCTGGTGGGGGGGGGGGGGGCCGCTCCACCTTTCTTTTTAAAAAAATCACCGCGGACATCTACAGCCGAATATAAACGTTTGCTACTCTGACCATCTTTCTCAGTATGTTTTTGGTGACGTTACAGTGGCCATCTTGTGCAATTGTCAGGACTCACCCCTTGCTGATTTTTTTCTCCGCTCGACACAGAGATGTGATCAATACCTCTCAAGGGACAGCTCCCCACCGACACGTCTGCACGCAGAGACATTGGTGGAAAACGAGAGCACACCCCTGGGCCCAGACGTGTGTCCAATTCCAGCCCCCGGCTGCACTTTGTCCGCAGGAAGGTCAGGCCCCTCCTGCTGAGTGAACAGATGGGGAATTCTAGGAGGAACCTGCCCTCCCAGCTGAGCTGCAGGAGCCCAGATGGGAACGCCTCACCTTCCTGCGGCCGCTTTGAGTTCAGGCCCCAAAGCATCCCGGAAGCTTCCAGGGAAGGAAGAGCACGGAGGACAATCCGACACCGACCGGGAGGCTGTGGCCCCTCCCCCAGTGTACAAACACGGCAACCGAAAACAACCACACACTCGGCATTGAGAGCTTCTCCCTGGAAACCCGGCCAAGTGGCGGGGAAGGCCCGCGGCAGAAGTCCTATGCTCACCGGATGGGAGGCCCCTGGGTCACACTGCGAGGCTGGATCCTTGCCTTCAAGCCCAAAGGCAGCATCTTGTCTCTGTGGAGGCAAGTTGAAACACTGACTCCTGGGATTACAAAGATAAATTTTCTCCGACATTATTACTGGCATGTGCCCTTGACTCGATTCAGAACCATACTGACCCTTAGAGGGCAGAGATCAGCCGTCCCATCGGCTTTCCAAGGTTGTAATCTTTATGGGAACAAACTGCCACACACACCCCAACCCCACTGGGTTTGAACTGCTGACCTTTTTGGTAACCAGCCGAGCACTTACCCACGGTGCGACCAGGGCTCCCCCTACATGACTAGGAACTAAACGGTAGTGTCAGTTTTTTCGGAAGTCGTCACCTAATGTTGGCTCTGATGACTATTGGGTGTTGAATTCAGGCAGAGCTGGGCTTGAAGCCCCTCGCTGTCTACTTGGGAGGGAGGGAGACTCCAGCCTGAATTCAGCCCCAGTCAGGCGGCGCCTGCATCCACTCCAGCATCCTTGCCCTCCATCCCTCCACTCTAACTCTCCCCGATGCTCACACGCCAGAGAAGCCAAGGATCTGACTCGTGGATTAGACTGGATTGAAGTGTGCAATCTTTGAAGACAACTGAGGGAGTTTTAAACAGTACAAAAACCCAAACCAGCCCCCACAAAACAACCCCCCCTCCCTTCTCAAAAACACAACTATGCATGTTAAGTCAGTTCAAGTAGCCTCTGGCTTTGTGAAGAATCGCACGGCGTAGGTGGTGAATTTGTAACGAGGGGCCTGTCAGGTTGATTGTTCTTGTTGGTGCTTGGTGCTGCCGGGTCACCTCCAACTCACGGGACCCTCACCCTCGTGCAACGGAATGACGTGTCATCCTCCCCTGGTGACTGTGAGCCCACTGTTGCAGCCAGTCCATCTTGTGGAGGGCCTGCCTCTTTGTCCATGACCCTCTCCTTTACCACAGGAGCAAGACGAGGCTGTCCACTCCTGCAGACTCCAAGTCTTGGAAACCCAAAAGGGGCAGTCCTACTTTATCCTAGAGCAGCGGTTCTCAACCTGTGGGTCACGGGGGTCGCCCGATTCATAACAGTAGTCAAATGACAGTGATGAAGTAGCAACAAAAATAACTTTATGGTTGGGGGGGGTCACCACAACATGAGGAACTGTATGAAAGGGTCACGGCATTAGGACCCACTGTCCTAGAGGGTCATTGAGTTATAATCGACTCCGTGGCAGTGAGAGAACTGAGTTATGCTTTACCAAAGGATCCCTGGTGGCGTAGTGGACTACACATTGAGATGCTAACTTGCCACAAGGCTGGTGGTTCAAACCCACTAATTGTCCCAGGGAGAAAACTGAGGGTGTCTGCTCCGACACGGCGTCACCATCTCAGAAACACACAAAGGGGCAGTTCTACTCTGCCCTACAGGGTTGTCGTGACTTGGAATCAACTCAATGGCAGTGAGCTTGATCTTTTTGGTTTCACTTATACTCGATCGACCAAGCGTGGCTCCCTTTTCCTGGTACTGGTCTCTCCTGATAATGGCCCAGAGTAAGGGAGGCAAAATTTATGGTCTAGGATAGTATTTAGTTGAAAGAGGCCACCTCCTTGCACCTTATTTTTAAAAGCTATCAGACACCATCAGGAGCAACCGTAGCGCAGCAGTGAGGTGTTCTGCTGCAAACTGAAAAACCGACAGCCTTGGCAACCCGACGGGCCAGTTCTACTGTGTCCCACAGGGCCCCTAGAAGGCCTACAACCCAAGTGACATGTGAATTATCACCTACCTTATGAGTATGATATTATTAAAAATCATTTTCCTATTCCCAGCTATAGAAGAATATAAGACGGCCACAAATCCCCTGGCCTAGGAGGGACAGGCGCACCCGAAGACCCACAGTAGCTTCTGTCTTGAAGTTTGGGGCCAACTCCCATGTCATGGTCACTGCTGCAATTTCTATGACTCCTAGTGAACACCCCGTCACAGAGCACTGACCCTGGGCCACCCAGTGCAGTCTCTCACTCTTTTCACTTGCTGTGAGGAGCACACGGAGCAAAACGCACCCCCAACCCACCACGTCTACAGGCACAACTGAGTGACGCTGGCGGCATTCAAGCTGGGCCACCGTTCTCAGGCTCCTTTTCCAAACTGGTCCTCTGCCATCAACTCGAGCCCCTCCCTGCCAAGCTTCCTCTCTGCTCTTCCCAGCTGCCAGGTCGTTGTCAACAGTTCTTCCCAAGGGCTCGGTGCTCCTGGTAGACACGCTACTGAACACGCCAACTCACCAGGCAGACACTCTACTGAACACGCCAACTCACCAGGCAGACAC